GACACCCTCAGGGCATTATAGTGCCAGGAAAACGAGTATGTTTTCCTGGCACTATAGTAGTCCTTTAAGTACAACTGCAATTCAATAAGGTGAGAGCTCCACATAGGGTGTAAATGGTGGAGGCTTCTCACCTAATGTTATTACAACATTTAAACTTTTCATATCTCCAGATATAAAACCATAAAAAGCACGACCTAAAAATACAAAGGGAGACCAATAGTGCAGACAAAAACAACTAAATACTAAAAAAGGGGAACTATAAAACACTCACAAACATAGAAGTAAAGGCAGGGTATAACCAGACTTCTTCAAGTGCTTCTTCTTTTTCTTGTATGTAAAGATGAGTACTTAGAACAAAGCACAGAAAAAAAACATAGTATATAGCTGTATGGTATTCGAAAAATTGCTTTATTATATGCACTTACAAAATAAAAGAAGTAAAAGGGCTCATCAATTCAAATCACATCCGCTGTCTGCCATCCAAAAACAGGTTAAACGCCAAAGGAAGGAGACAAAATGAATGAAAAGAGTCCAAAATAAAAGAATTAACGAATCGTGAAATAAAGCTTGCCACCCTACGCGTTTCGTCAAGAAGACTTTGTCAGGGGCTCGTGGCAATAATACACAATACACATACAATTACATTTAAATACCCTGCCATGAATTATTTTTTTTTAAACCTTTAACCAATCACAAAATAAAACTTCTAATCAAGTCCACCTGAAGGTGCTTTCTTCTATCTCGTTCCATTCTCTTTTCGCGCTTCTTGAAAGCGCTTGCGTCCCAAGCCTCACTTTTAGAAGTGCCGGAAAAGACCGCCGGTCCACATTCGGAACGCTTGTATTTCGTCATTTCCGGGCGCCACCGGAAGTTGTCACAAGTCCGAAAGGAAAAAAAATCACTCTTTGGAACGCAAATGCGTTCCACTTCAAATAGAACGTCAATGAAGCTTCTAAAAATGGGATGCACATAAACTCACAAAAAGAAAAAAGGTTTAAAAAATCCTCATAAAAATAAAGATAAAAATAAAAATAAATATGGAAAAAATATAAAGAAATAAATATGAAAAAATAAATAAATATAGAAATGAAGCCTCATAAAAACCACATCAAAAAAAGTCATAAAAAAACATGCCATATCGTTCCAATGGGTGGACATGGAGAATAATTATTCTCCGCGTTCCTCACTGGTAGATATTCTGTGGACACCCAAACATCTCAGGGATAAAAACACCTCAATGTTTCCTACATCTAGAATCACACTCCAAATATGGGACCATCTCCATAAAAGATATGCGAACATTACGAAATTCTCCCCATGGGCCCCGATAACGACACTCCACTCCATCTCCCCATGGCTATCTTTACATAAATGGAAAGACAAGGGCATCACACACATCACTGATATATATCAAAACGGGACCATTTTGCCCTTCCCTGATATTCAACTAAAATATGCCTTACCATCTAACTACATATTCCCATACCTCCAACTCAAAAGCATAATTAAAGAAAGGGTCCACATCCCGACCCAACATGCCCCCGCCCCTAACCTTGACCTTATAGCTATATATAATAGGTGTCGGAATGCACCACTCAAAGCCAATGCTTTATCCCTTGGATATGCCGCCTTAGGACAACATCCCCCTCTGACGAATTTTGCTTTTACGATACAATGGCATAAAGAAGGACTCCCACAGCTCAATACTGAGCAGTGGCTACGGTCCCTTGGGGCACTCAAAGGCGTGACTTCTTGTTACTCACACTTAGAGGCACATAAGAAACTTGTGTATCGGTGGTACCTCACACCTCACAAACTACATAAAATTTACCCAGCAACACCCAGCACATGATGGCGATGCTTTAAAGAGGCAGGGACAATGAGGCATGTCTGGTGGGATTGTCCACATAATTTACCACTGTGGACTGAAGTCCAACAACTGGGCAATTCTCTAGGAATCATGAAGGGAACTCTAACACCCAACATGAGTCTGCTCTTACTGATGCCTGCTCAAATTCCTGCACAGGACAAACAACTACTGATTATAATAACACTTGCCGCGCGCAACCTTATCGCGTGCCACTGGAAACAACAGACATGCCCGACGCCACAGCAATTACTCCACAAGACACAACAGTATCTGCGACATGAATTGATGATTACTTCGACACCCAGTCGTAGAAATATCACACACAATAATTGGCAAAGATGGAGTAAATACATATCTGACAGTCAGCACCCAGGGTGACTTGCCATGCACACATAGGCGTCCTTACGAACCGGGACGGCTTCAAACACGACATGACATAAGATGCACGACCGACTAAGACAGGCTGGATGCACATGTGTATGTATTAACGAAAACACAAAATGTAATGTTTATAACAGACTATATGTAACTGAATATTGCTAACTACTACATTGTAACTATCTAATCTATGCTTGTGGATACCCCCCTCCCCTTTTTTCCTTTCTGTACCCCCCACATGGTTGTTTTGAAAACTCAATAAAATACGAATTTGAAAAAAAAAAAAAAAACATTCCATATCAAAATCAACATTCATACCTTCAGGTTGCATTGTTTTTAAAGTATGAATCCAATAACCTTCTCTCTGTCTTAATTTTAATACCAAATCACCACCTCTTTCATCCAAAAGCACCTTTTCGATCCCAATATATGAAAAAGTATTGGGATTAAAATTTTGACACCTATTACAGTGAACAGGAACAGAGTGAGTTAATAACTTATTTTTAATATTATTGTTGTGCTCTAAGAATCTTTTTTTCACCGGCCTAATCGTTCGTCCAACATATTGGGTTCCACACCCACATGTCAGCAGATATACCACATGTGTAGAATTGCATGTGATATGCTCCTTAATTTTAAATTTCTTTTTGGTTCTCGAGCTACAAAAATAATAAATTTTTTGGTTCTTATAGTGACAACTTTTACATGACCCACATGTGTAAAAACCTACATGTTTCTCAACTTCTTGCTTAGCTTTATTCCTGAAAGTGCTGGGTGCTAAGACATTTTTAAAACTCCTCCCTTTCTTAAAAATAACTTGTGGGACAGGTGGAAGTTCCGTCTTTAAAAAATCATCTTCTAATAAAAGGGGCCAATGTTTGTTTAATATTTTTTTAATTTGTTTAGCATGAACATTATATTGAGTGTTAAAAGAGAAGGCAAATTTATTGTTAGTCAATGGGGCTCTTCTTTCTTTATTAAGTAATAAATCCCCTCTTTTTTTATTAAAAGAATGCATAATATCTTTGTTTATAAAATTATTTGTATATCCCTTTTCTAAAAATTTATTCTTTAAAAGAGAGGCCTGATCTAAAAAAACTTCCTCATCTGTACAATTACGCCTAATTCTTGTAAACTGACTTCGAGGAACCCCACGAAGCCAATTAGGATGATGATTACTTTCTATATTGATATAGCTATTTGCATCAGTAGGTTTAAAAAAAAGTTTTCGTCTTTATTTTAGCATCCTCAATAAAAATCTTCAAATCTAAAAAATGTATTTAATTATAGCTAAAAATAGGAGAAAAAATTTAAAGAAATTGATTAAAATTAATATAATCAATAAAATCTTTTAAATTACTCTCTGAACCATTCCAAATAAAAAAAATATCATCTATATACCTTCTCCAGAGTACCAAGTTCGCGCCGAAAGGGTTATTATTCAATATAAAATTATTTTCCCAAAAATCTAAAAACATATTGGCATAACTCGGCGCGAACTTGGTACCCATGGCTGTTCCCTGCAACTGTAGAAAAAAATCGTCATTAAAATAAAAAAGTTATGGGTTAAAATAAAATAAATACTGTCCAACAAGAAATTACTAAAATTAGATGATATCTCTGGATCCAAAACTGACTTAACTGCCTTGAGCCCTAAATCATGTCGAATGACCGTGTACAGTGATGTTACATCAACCGTAACCCAAATAAAATATTTTTTCCATTCAAGATACTCCAATTCTTGAAGTAAACTTTTAGTGTCTTTTAAATAAGATTTTGCCCCTTGGGCATACTTTTGAAGAAAAAAATCTATAAATTCAGATAATTTTGATGTTAGTGAGTCAACCCCACTAATGATCGGTCTGCCCGGGGGATGGGTTATTGACTTATGCACTTTTGGCAAAAAGTAAAAAGTTTGAATTCTAGGGGCTTCTGAATATAAAAACGAAAAATTCTTATCATCAATGATGCCTTCCTCCCTATATTTAATAAGTAACATTTTTAACTCGCCATTAAAAGTAGCATTGGGGTTGGAGGATAATTTTTTATAAGTGGTGATGTCTCCTAAAAGTCTATTAGATTCTTTACGGTAATATTCTGTAGACAGTACCTCCCCCCTTGTCTGCACTTTTGATGACAATATCTTTATGATCTTTAAGGGATTATAATACTCTATTTTCTTCTTTCGTCAAATTAAAATTTTGAAAAGTGCTCATATCCCCAGATCACTGCTTGAATTGTAACCCCTGAAGTGTTGGAAGGGAAAGAAAGGAGCCACTATATTTGTGGTGTGGATTGTACAACCTTGGGATTTTTATGTTGAAAGTATTGTACATTGAATGAGAAATTTTATTTTAACTGTATGCATTTTTATGGTGAATAAGTTCTACAAACATCTTTACTCTCTAATTTGAGAGCTTTCTAGAATTGTGTGCTAACTCACTGTTCAATATAGTATTTTGGTGGGAGATTGACATTATTTTCTTTATTATTATTTAATTTTTTAATTTATTATTTTATTTTCTTTGTTTATTATATACCTTTTTCCTTTATTTTTTATTTCTCTTTTTATTTATTGTTTTTTTTATTTTTTATTCATTATTTATTTTTTATTATTATTTACCTTTTT